ACCCCCACCCGCTTTACGATGCTTCTTGTTGGTGAGATACGGTGACTGTGGTAAAAGATTATGATACCTGGCCGTCGTGTAAGTATATTACCTGCATATACCTACTACAATCGACCCGGGCCCGTGTCGGAGGTACACGTGTGACATTCGTCCCAGGAAATTTTGTCTTGTGATCAAAACTTGTAATAATATTATTATTACGTATGTTTACCTTGTATTGTGTGTGCGCAGTACAGAAATTCGATATTGATTTCAGTAACGATACTTGTAGGGTTTATGGAAAGTAATGTTCCACATCATTATCAATAATATTTTTGGTGTGGTGTCACAAATGATAAATTCATACGAATTCCACCCCTCTCCCTGAACAACACTAGGAATATTATGGGTACTCGAGTTTGATACATCCTCGATGCTTAAGGCCGTCGACACTATTTATTGATGCATATAGAAGCCAGAACAATATAAGTACCCAACACTATAACGGCTTGGTTATTTATATAATAGTAAATAGTAAAAGTGTGTAATTATAATGTATGTTATTATTTATTCATTAAAAAAAAATATATCATCATATAAAAATGAAAAATACTGAATAGAAAAAAAAACGAACAAACCAGACCAACTAGTCACTAAAGTAAAAAATTGTACAAAAGAAATGGCAAAAACATAGACCAATTTCTTTATTTATTACAAATTTCTCTATTACGGTTTACAACAGATAGAACACATTTTCCAAAGCTTAATGATTATTATCTATAGGTATGTCTGTGAATGGGTAAATATTTTTTAAAAAAAACTACTTTACGAAAAATGTATTTTTATTCATAAAATGTATAAGATAAGCATTTACTTATTGAAAACATATAAAAATATTTGAATATGAATAGAATTCATTGAATAATTTTATTTCGTTACACGATAGTATGACACGTGCTGACTTTTAATCAGAATTAAGAAATCTGTATTCAATAAAATTGTATTTTTACATAAAAACCACTCCCTCTACTTGTCACATATCGATCAAGATTGTACTAAAATACATTATAAATAGGTCTGAGTACCTGCGCCTACCCTACTGTTTAAGAAAGCATAAGAAATAACACATACCTATTACCAGTACTGACATATCTTATCACTGACGCTTGTTTTAATACATATCTTCATGTGCGTCGGTACGTGTGTCAATTTTCAATAAAACTACATTTTTCTTTCTTCTAGATGAACTTGGCAAGAAAAAAATCTCTCTATAAATACACATATAAGTATTAATGTTCAATGTTTGATGGGTTGATGCCTTATAGTTGGTATCGTATAAACTTAACTTGATAGTGACTATTATAGGTGTAGAATACGACTCATAAAATGATATTATGTAGTGCGTAAAACGCGTATTAGTACAAGGAAGCAAATTTAATATCGACTCTCGTGTACGAACATTCGGATCGTTTTATTTTCTCCGCCTATAGTAATATATTTTATACAGTAAGTAGTTTATGTGAACAATTTCAAAGTTAATTTTACTGTTTTTACATGACCCTCAGACGTGGTATCGTATATATGTATATATATCCCATATTATTGTAGTCCTCGCCGTCACGTCGGTAGACCAAAACGTTTCGAAGGAGTCACGTTGAATGCAAGTTGTGCTTTAAATATAGGTCATAAGTTACAATTTCCTAGTGCTTTTTGTATCAGCAGAAAATCAATAATAACTCGACAAAGGATATATTACCATTATCATTATAAGTCTAACAAGCAGCACACGTTTTTAGATAAATCTTGCTTTTATAGTGTAAATTGTATTTAATAGATTACTATTATACGTCATATTAAAGACTGTCGCTGTAGTAGTGACTCATTGAACTTCAATATTATCAGCACTTATTTTCGAACTACTTTCTCGTTTAAAAAAAAAAAAACAATTTTTAACAATAACGCACTGTGTGTAATAATGGTTTATCAAGTGCACGGCAGTCCTTTTTTCTGTACGCCACTATACAGTTTAAACTTTAATCAAAACTTTTGTTATATTTTCCGATTTTCGTATTCGATCTTTTGATAGACAGTGTAATGAAAAAGCTCAATTTTTTTTTTGTCGTTCGATTTTTGATTAATAAACCAATATACGGTCAACAAGTTCATTTGTTACGAATTGTTCGGTCCGGGAGGCATATACGGCTTATCTCTGTGCATAAAACACGTCACGCCAGTTATAACAATACAAAGTCGTCGGGGCCGACGTGTCACCGGAAACCTTCTCTACACACAAAGCGGAGTGGCAGTGAAAAACAGGAGTAGGCATCGTACACCACTGCCTAACGGATCCAGGTCTGGCCATTAATTTTAAACGTTTATCTCACAAATATGTTGTTTTTTTTCGTACATTTTCAATGATGTATGTTTCCTATTTTATAAAAGTATCTCGTTGTATTCAATTTATGTTTTAATCGTACAAAAATGTACAAATTTTATTATGAAACCATCGTGGAAATTATAATATGCTAAGTATCCATTCGATATTTGGATTAATTTAATTTTATCCAGGAATAGGAGAAGTGGGTTTAGGAAGGGTGGGACATAACTCCCCCGTCCCCCAAATCCGTCTCACGCGAATAGATATACCATGGGATGTAAATAATATCAATATTATAGTAATACATTAATATACGGCGTGGTAATGTGACCTTGTTTTGAACTAACACGCTTAGTATAATATAATATACCAACTCGTATACACAATATACAAGATCCGATGACAATATTTACATAATAATATAATGTTATCATGCCACAGTGTATACCTATCCGGTGGTGCAATATATATATATATATAACACTAAATTTAGCAGCTGTATTGCTTGAATTAGTCCAGAAAAAATGAAGAATATCACAATAAGTATACAACTTGATGTATTTTGGTTTTAATGTAAATACCTCAGGTCACGATCAATTCAGTGTCATTTTACCTCTTTTCAATTTCTGATAGAGCCTGAAACAATAATTTTTATTTTTAATGTTCATAATTATAACATAGGTGACAATGGCCTTTAGGGTTAATTATAACTTTTTTTTTTGTTAAATAAGGTTATACGATTTTGTTTAGTTTAACAACTTTAAAATCGGTGCGGTGGGGTGGTCAAGTCCAAGTGCTGCCATCCAGGGCGTAGGCTTCTGAGTGCGTCTACGTGTGGAGGTATTCTGTATAATTATGTGGTAGACTGAGAGAAACAATATCATATTTTTGACATTGTATTACACTATCACGACAAATAAAATTCCCATGATCTCTAAGAACATGTTGCGATGATAAATGCAATTTAATTTAATATACATGCACAGTTTATCATGCCCCTAAAAAAAGTTCCGATCGAACAAGGGCTTGACTAGCTCACCCAGTGCGCAAGCTCTTGACCTCGCTTTATGGATAAATCTGACATAGGTGGGCTATAACCCAACTGTGGTGGATTAAATACAACACTTGGTGTGTTTTGGTTTATGTATTTAATAACTACAAGAGCAAATTATTGTAAGTACTAGCCACTAAGTATACCTCAATCGCCGAAAATTATCAATTTTAAAATTCGACACATGCTATTATTGTTAGTTTACATGGCATGTAAGCATGTAACCAACAAAAATATAAAAAAATATATTTGTTCATCATTGGCCTTAATGTATTCCCTAATAAACTTTTTCTGATAGTTATAAAAGCAATCTCTGAAATTTTCGTCGAGATCACTGTAATTTATGAGTCCACAAACTACACACACGTGTAGGCATACATAAATATAGCTAGTTTATCATTAATGTAGAAAATGCATAATATTATATTATTTTATCGGTAAAGACTTTTTATGTATTCGAATCTACGTGTATACATCGTTTGTAATAGTCACAGTTATTCTCTACTTTCGTTTTCTTTAGTAATTATGGTGAAATTTCTTTAGGTTAGATTTGGTTAACCGTGGTAGTAGGTACTAATCCGGTGTCTAACAGTGCCGGTATTTGTGTTTCAATCAGAACTATTGAAATGCATAATAAAACCAATCACACACAAAATAAAAAATAGACTCAATTGAGATAGGTATATTTCACTTTTGTACCAGGTCTCAAATATTGTATTATTTTTTTCTTCTTCTTTCAGATATGAGACTCAATTAATACATGCACCGAAAAATATAAATTATAATTTATACTAGCTTTATAAAATTCGTATACAGTGTTGTCTCAAAGCTCAAACACTGTGGCAGAGTGACCCGCGTCAATAGCTGACCCTGCGACCAGCCATCGAAACCACAACCCATGTCATACGATGTGTAGTAGCCATCTACTGTATCGCAATATTTGGAAATCGTCGCTGTCGAGCTATGATGTAGACCTCGACCGGATTGGCTGACACCGAACAGCCGACGCCGTTGGCCCCACTCCGATCACGTGGCCGCACACGACAAGACCCGCGATATCCGTCGGACGGCGTGCGAACTCGATCGTCGTGTCCGGTTCCGTCGGCGGCGTTCCCCCCCGACAGTATAGTCTGTGCACGCTGGAGCGCGTGCTATCTCTCGCATCGTCCGGCGAACTGTTTTCGCTTTGTCGTGGAAATAAAATAACGTCCGCAAAACAATAAACTATCGGCTGCCGCCAGTGTTTGCCTTTGATCGCGAGTGGTTTTCAGTCCAGAGCTGTGTTCGCGTTTCTTCGACAGCGGAAAGTGCACTGCAGCTCGTCGAGTACCCGGCCTAGACGCGACCGCCGAGTGCAGGTGGTTACCGCCGCGGTAACCAAAATCGGCGGTATCGGGCGTCCAAAATGAACGGCGGTGGTGACCGGCAGTGGTCCGTGACCGATTCGTCCGGCGGTGACCGGCACCGAGAAATCCGGCTGGACGACGGCCGTGGGGGCGGAAGCCGATACCCTCACTCGTGGCTCAGGAACAACTGTCCGTGTCCGTCTTGCGCGTCCGCCGAGTCCGGTTTCCGGAAACAAGTGATCCGTGATTTTCGGTTCAACTCGGCGCCGGAAAAGCTACAAGTAAGCCGTCCTCTATTCACTACTTTTATGAAACTTACATTTTTTTGATTACATTACCGTACAGCACCATTTTTACATACAGTCGATGGCATATTATAATATTATTAAATTTGTTCATTATTCGGTATGAATGAGAATTTATATGAGGTATGTATATAATATCATGCTGCAACATCGCTCAACACTATCATTCCTCCCCCAGCTACCACAGCCAAATCAGCTATTAGCATTAATAATGCCATTTCGCAGCACATTGCTTTGTTCTTGGTTTCGGTGATTTATTTTAGTTTTTATTCGCCAAAATACTGAAATAAAAGGTTATTTGTAGAATACAATTATTTAATACTATAGAATTTTTGAAATCAATTTAAAATTGTTTTAAAAATGAGCAAATAAGTAAACGTTTTTCTGGTTTGCGATACAGTACAAGTCGAGTGTCTTTCGTCATTGAGTAGATCAATGTATTATGGATGTATTAAATTTTAATTCAATGATAAAAAAATATATAATACACAAAAAAATAATAGGGCATCAGTCAACTTGTACTACTAAGTATATTTTTTAAATTTATATCGTAGAAATTTATTTAAGTAAAAATGTCAAGTTCAGTTTTCGCAGATTTTTACTAAAATAATTAAAAACGTTATTTTTTTCTTAAATATCCAATATCGTCAAAATTACATTCCCATCATAGAAATTTTTATTGCAATTGAAAAATATTTAAAATACATACAGTAAACTCTTTTTGTATAGCAGAGTTCAAAGTTCAGATTGTTGACGAAATTCGTCGAAATCTCAAAATTTTGAAGTATAAATGTAGGTATAACATTTTCAATTTTAATATCTAAGGCTTAAAAATGTAATTAGTACAAGGTTCAACAATTTTATTTTGACTGGAACTTAAAAATCTCTACATTCATAATTTTTTTTCATGCGAAAAATCTTTCAAATTTCTACGATAACGGATATTTAAAGAAAAAAATATTGTATAGTAATTAAAAAACTAATTTTCTTAGAAACTTGTTTACAACTAAACTTTGGTTAGCACGTATATTATTATATATGTGTGGTTACTATCAAACATGTGTGATTGCTAAATTTTTAAAAATAGAGTATTCATATTGTTTTGTACTAAAAAAATGGCGAGAAACTAAAAAAAATATTAATAAAATAATGTACTTTTATTCCAAAGCGCACTATTGCCATCGTATAAAATTAAGGCAAAGCGTGTTATTACCATTTCGGTTCAATACATGATATTGCATTTGTTGTAGGTATAGCCTTGTTATAGATATAGGACAGTTACATTTTTTGAACGTGTCATTGCCGTTTTCAAAACGTGTTATTGCCCATGTTATACGTATAGAATGCATAAAGATTTGAATAAAAACGTATTATTGCCATATAGGAATACAAAATTAAAAATATTATTAGCATTAAGAATTATTTAAAATTGAGAATTTTATCAAAGCAGTACAAACTTTATTTTGAAAAATGATAACGAAATTGTTAACCTATGAATGTTAATAATATATTATTATCAACTGTTATGGTTTTAATATTACTAAAAATAACTCCAAAAATTCATTACAGATATCGGAATTTTGGGCAATCAATTTTTATCAAATTAAACGTAAGGACTACTGTACAATATAACTCTTAACATTTATTTAATAAATGTTTATTTTATTATTTTCTACATTATGTCTTGAACAATATCAGTGAAATAGGTTTTTCTGTGAATTGTTCATGTCAAAATGTGCAATTTACTGACAATAACACGTTTTAGCAGAAATAACTTTATTAAGTTGCTCAAAATATAGTCTTCTATTAGATTGATCTTGGTCCTATGCACAAATGAAACTGTTCGACTTTTTAAAAATGTTCGTAGAACATATTTATTGTATCCAGTAGGTATATTATATTAAACATCTCGACTCCAATTAATTCACTAATTTTACTCCTTACCACAGCACAACACAAACGTTGTAGGTATCTCACTATTACTTATCTATATCTTTACCTCTAAAATTAAGACGATCGCTTATTTACAGTTAAATGATGTAAGAATTATTACCTACGTTCGTCTTAAATTACCATTTTATTGCTATTATATTAATACCGATTAGTATTGAATACTAACGTTGTATTATCATTTTGATTGTATTACTCAAATCGTTGAACAATAAAAGTGGTAATTACCTACAATTAATGAATAAAAAAGTATATATTCATTGTCTACTGAACATTAACCAAATAAAACATAAATTTGTCCTTTCTGAAAAGTATTAAAAATCGCAATAGCACGTTTCGTATTTTAACCACACATTTACTATACATAATTATTTTTTAAAAACGTATTGGTAGATTATTTTTAAGTAATTTATAATTATACATTTATATAGATAATGTACATATTCTCACCACTCTGCGTTAGGTATGTATTAACTTACAAGTTATAAATAAAAAATATATTGTAATATTATATTATTATAATAATAATTAATATACAACAGAGTTAACTAATGGTTTTTTTCCCCCAAGCAATCAAAACAAAAAATTCAAAATTCAAAATATGTTATTTTTCTAACGAACACTAAATGAACTAAAAAGTTTGATAGATATAATGTATGCACAGTAAATATTATTATACAACTATAAGCGGCTGATGAGTTGCATGCAACTACTTGATTAAGTAATAACACAATGAAGTGGGTAAAATTTTAGTTGATACTAAATTATTTTTCGGGCTTGTATTCCCTATTAGGATACCATTAGTCATTCCACATTAATGGCATAATAATAAGTTACCATCCATTCCTATTATTTTACAGCACCTAGTCTAATTATTTTTAAAGGGAGTTCTAAATTGGTTTCAATCATTTGCATTTCATTTTTTAATATTGAATAATTCCTTCCATTTGACCTGAGTTCAATAATAACCGTCAAGTGCCAAATTGTATTATAATAGGAAATGTTGATTTAAGTGTCACCCTTTTTTATACTCTGAACTGTACAACCGAAAGTAGACCACTTCCGCATTACTTCATAAAAGTCCTCTAGAACAAACATACTGTAATAATGATACAGTAGTGTTTATTAAACATTAATTAAATTATTATCTAATTTTCACTTTTGTTGAAATAACTTATGTAATTTACAATAACTTTACTTTTGATATTTATTTCATAATATTAATTAGTTACATGGTTATTATTAAATGTATCAATCTTGACATATTGAAACTGTGATTGAAAAATATAATTTACAAGAGTATATACCTGCCTAAATCGAAATAAAATATAAAATATTTTAATAATATATGAATATATTTTGAAGAAAAATGATTATAGTTGATTATTTTTTGGAGAAAAACAGCCTATTCCAAAAAATTGAGTAGGTAGTATAAATATTTTAAAATATAAGTTTATCAACGATTGTTGAATAAAATGTTACTTAAATCGTTACTTATATACTCAACAAAAATCCAATTTTTTTTTATTCCCTATATAAATATCATATAATACAAAAATAGTTTTTCCGGGTTTGAATTCTTTTATACTTATGTTTTTAAAACACCTTGCTGGATTGATGAAAACAGCGTAGGTTTACCTTTTTTCAAAATGTAATAACGAGCCACAAAAATACAACAACAAAAAACATAACTTACAAAAATGTTGAACTATAATTAAAATGTTACGCCAATTATTATTCTTTAATAGGTATGTTATTATTAGTAACAATTGTTAAAATATTATCAATTATTATTTTTATATGGTATTAGAGTTTTCTAATTATTGAATGATATTTTTTTGTTGCATTAATAGTTTATTTTTACACTTTATACAGAAAGATTTTTTTATAAATTATCAAAAATATTAAATTAAAGTTTTTTCAGTTAGCATTTTCATCAAAAATTATTGTCTCTTTTGTTGGCTAACAACACAGACTTCTATAAGCTATACAGTAAGTATATATGGGCTCAAATGCATTACTCCCGGAATAAATTAAATCGATGTCAGGATGTTGATTTACAAAGAACAACATAATATTATATTTAAATGCTATATGATACTGGGGTATTTAAATTTATGATAATCACACTTTTAATATTACAAACATTACAAACGAAAGTACAGTGTACAATGTCCGTTATCATTTAAAAAATAATAAATATTACTATACTAATGTTCTATAGATGTTTGTGGCTTACAAACTAGAATAATACAACGATTATTGATTTATTATTGCTTTTGTGATTACAAAATATTGCAGAAATACAGCATGGCAATAATTATTTTCGGAAGTTTAGATGAAAAATTTTAATTAAGAAACGAACCGTGACAATGGAAAATTAAAGGGAAAATATTCGAAGGGGGTTGAGAGTTCAGGAAAAGATTGTTATGAAAGGTGAAGTAAATAATTAGTGTATAACGACTTTATTTAAAATTTTAAAATTAATTTTGGTTTAAATATAAAATATCGTGTATAATTATATTTATAAGACCAATTAAATGATAATTATTAACGATAAGTAACTGAATTATGTATTATTAATGTTATTATAGTTATAATTATTTCATACTTTCAGAAGTATTATTCGAAATGTAGTGAAAAAATTCGATACAATAATAGATTGTAATCAATCATCGAAAAAAAATTAATAAGATGGATTCAAGTTTATTTAGTCTTCACATCATACCAGTCCATTAAAATGTCCATCAAGCGCTATAAGGTATACTTTAAATTTTAATGTATTGTAGGGTATTAATTTACAAATATCAACTCTCCTTATATTTTAGTCTTCGTTTTTGCGTTAACCATCATATTCTTTAATCAGCGATTATGGTATCATACTATCATGTTACAATGTCCCAATATAAGAAAATTATATTTATATAATATAATACATCAGTTTTATTTTAGAATTTAAATTGCTTTTCACTAACTAATTTTACATTAGCTAATATTAGGTGATGTTTTAGTCCTTTAAACATCGA